TAAAAGTATAATAGGGGCTGTGAGAAGAATACGATTTTATAGCTCAAACAGACCTTCAGTAAGAACATGCGGTAATATTGAAGTCTAACTCACATGTTTCCAGATACTACTTTATACACATATCTTTGGGGGTTCTGGCCAAGCTTAGGTAACCAGAAGCCCATGAAGAAAAAAATTGAATAATTTGTCCTGAAATATATTGCAGATCTCCCTATTAAACTTTACTAAATTGTGAGTGTAGCCTTTAGTTTACAGGTGATTTGCCCCATCTCATGGTAGATCAACCAGATCTTAAGCTGGCCATACTCCATACAAATTTCGTCTGGTTCTTGATTCGCACAGTGGGTGTCACTGTCGGCATCTTTTCAGCCAGTATCCCTCAATCAGTTGATCGAAGGAGCCGCTCGGAAAATCTTTGAATGAATACAGCAGGCAGCCAATGAGCTTGGCGACCACCGTTAGAATATCATGCAAACAACAACTCTTACGTATTGGTGGAGGAATCTGTTATATTTTTTTTGCATTAGTGAATAATGTTATAGTTATTTTCTTTGATGGATATTTTCAAAGATACTCTAGACATATTGGTAAATAAAGGATTCCAGTGTTCATATTCTAGGAAGAGGGATCTAAGATATGCTGTATGTATGTTGCTCTTTGAGGACTAAAGACCAGGCCTTATATTAAAAATATAATGCCCCTTGTGCAAAACCTTAACCAAGCCAGCATAACCAGTTCACGTTAGCAGTATTTATCGCACATAGATTGGTATGGTAATAGTAGTATTAGGTGATTTGCACAATCAAAGTAGTCATGTACAAGAAGTCACAATAATTCATAGTTATTCTAATAATCCTATTGATATCATGGGAAGACCTTTCAGATGTAATACTTGTCTGTTGGCCATCTTGCATATATTACCTACATTGGGAGTAAGGGCCTTGCATTGTAGAAAAAGGAGACTCCTTAGCTTTAATATATTTCTGTGCTATTACACATGTCTACTTGGGCCAAAAAAACAAGTTACATATTTTATTAGATCACATAAAAATTATTTTCACTGTGCCAAAAAGGAATTAATATCTTTGATTGTTCTCAGTTTTAGGCTACCATTACAAACAAGAATGGATTTCTTTGTTCCATGTATTTGGTGCTAAGTGTCACTTGAAAGTTCTTATCTCATTTGAAGCTTTAGCGTTACAAGCCATATTTCCACTTTCTCTTCTTTCACAGCAAGTGACCCATCTAGCTTTTGAAGGTGAACCACTGGCAGTAATCTGAAACACAATTCTCTGGGATTTGCTAATGCTTGAATAATAATAGAAAACAAACCTGGGTTAACCTATAACCTGTGCAATATGAACTGCTAACACCTACAAGGATAAGTGTTTTGTCATCAAATCACCCTTTAAAAGCTTTTTGTGCAATTTCTTGGCAACAGAAAATACTTTACTTGTCATGATGGCAGTTGATCTTTACTTCCTGATAAAATACCTTACAGTTTTTAGCCCTAACTATGTCATTCGGATTAAGGCTTTGTTTATTATTTGTTGTTGGCAATGGTATTAAGGCGATGGTCCCAAATGCATGAAATGGCTTGAAAGAAAATCTGTCCAGCAGATTCCATTATAATAAAGATTATTAGGGTTGTAGTGATGAGGCTAAAAGATTAAAAAGAATCATTTTGAAAAAAGTCTAAAAACATAATTAATATTTAATAATTAATATATTATATACTATAATATTTAATAATTAATATATAATATAATAATGATATCATATAGTAATATTTAAAATGATTAATATTTTACTAAATAATTGTCATGGGCTCAAAGTGTATTTCCACTTTTGTAGCCAAATTGGGATAACACCTATTTTATATTTGTTACGTGTTCCCATTCACATAAGCTAAAAAAAATAAAAATAAATGCTTCTTGCAGTTTAAATTCCTTTTACTTGGGTGGGGGTTTCTAAGCTTCTTAAGGGTTAACATTTCTGCTTGCTTCTACTTCATTTGTAATGTTAGGAAGGGTTGTGAGGGGGTGAGTGGCTTCTCCATTGTATGTTAATGAAGTTTATGAGGGAAACACAATCCTCAAATATCAGTCCTCCGTCTTTCACAGATCACTGTGAAAGTGCTAAGGAAAACCTGAAATCGGCCATGTTGCCTGCTACAACAAAACATCTAAAAGATAAGAAAAATGTTTTAAATAATTTTTTTCTGTATGCTTTGTGAATAATTGCGCATTACAAACGTATAGAGAGGTTTTCTCAAATTTGACTGCAAAGGTGAAAATACACTTTAAAGTCCATATGTATTGAGATAGTCCTACAGGAAATAATTTGGAGTGAACAAGTTTACTTAATTTTATAGTTGGTAACTGGTATATTAACAGTTTTGGTGTAGAGGAGGGGTGACTAGCAGTTGTTTCCTGCTTTTCACTACTTTATATGGGAACATGAGCAGGTCCTCTCCTGCAATGATTCCTCTATTCCTAGCTGGAGCCACACTTTCACAATTTACATGTATTGCCTCCTAAAGATAAAATCTGGCATTATGTTTCTTCCTTTCAGACACAGTGGCTATAGCACTATTAGGTATGACTGTACGAACTTGACTTCGTAAATCAGTATAAACACCAGGGAGACAGGGGTTCTCTTGTTGCTTACAATTAAACTGCGCCGATCAGATGTAGCTGGGATTGTTTTTAAACTTTAGAGCCCCATTTATGTCATGAGAAATGTAGAATATACAAGTACTGCTTATGGTCTTTTAAAAAATACTGTGGATTTGTTACCTGAAGTGGCTTATAAAAATATGGCACTTTGGGACTGTGGTGCTTTAGACAGCGGAATTATTCCTTGTAAAAAATCTTGAGGAAAGGTGATTGCAATTGCAGGTGTCATTTCTTGAGTGCCAGATATGGTAATACATTTTGCAGAAACGCTGTAGTACGTTTTGGGCGCACTGTAAATTAAGCTGTATAAGATAAGATAGAAGTTTGGAAAAACTCTATTTTCCACAGTTTTTGGAATGGAAATGTATTTTTAGTAAATTAAATTGAATAGGAAGTGTGGCAGTAATATGGTGCTCATTAGGCTTGGTACACTGCGTTTCCTTTCATTAAATAGAGCAGGAATGGTTCGTACTTTGTAGCAGAAATAGAATTACAACGGCAGAATTATTCCCTTTCAAGTCATCCAATACACAAGACTTCTATTTTTTTTTCTTTTTTTCACTAATAGCTCAGTGTGACTGTAGTATTGAAATTGAAGCTATTCCACTAAGGAAGCTATTTTATTATACTGTTTTTCTAAGGCAATTTAAAAATAAATATTTATTATGGATTAATACTGCGTAGAGCACCAATTGGCATTTCTAACTTTCAGTTTGTGGAGCTACAAAGACTGTATTGCTTTCACTGACTAGGGAATGTAGAAGGGCGTAGTTGTTTTCTCCTAATTATCTGTTAACGCAAGCCTTGACACAATTGTATATGTAAACAGCAGAGAGTACATCAATCTTAAAGGTACTTTGTCGTGAGAGATTAATTGCGGCTGAGAATTTTAGTGCCCTGGTTAATGCTTTGCCTCCAATGCTCCCTGAGTCACTTATCCAGAACAAGTATAGAGATAAGTAATTCTAATATTTTTCTGACACTCATTTATTGCATGCTTATTCCAGATTTGTGACTAAAACATACTGAAATCAGACACAGCCAGGCATCTAGCATTTCTAAAAGGAGGCCTGCAATGGCAGCCCCCATAACTCTCTCATGACAGAGTCACTTTAATTGCCTCTTGCATGATTTCTGGAAATGGTCAATAGTAAAGAGAAGAAGACACTGAACACTCAGGGTGGAATTGAACAACACTGGAGCAGACAGAATCTGGAGCAGTTGCCCATGGCAACCAATCAGCATCTCTCTTCATTTTGCTCAGGTAAGATTTGAAAATGAGAGAGAAGCTGATTGGTTGCAGTGCAAATCTGCTCCAGATTTTTGTCTGCTCCAGTTTTGATAAATTCCCCCCTCAGCGTCGTTAATTCCACCAGATGCAAGCAAAATTTCAGTCAGTTGACTAAGCCAGATTGGTAAAATGCGTGAAAGGTATTATATACATGGGACATTGTTTTACAGTATGTTGTTTAAATGAATAAAAGTCGTTTTGATTCATGAAGATCCATGGAAGTGTGGCTTGTCTTTTGAGAAGAATGCACAACATTTCATTCAGCCATACCTGATGATGTAAAAGTTTCTAAAAGATCTTGCTTTGTTAGTTCTTATGCCAGTAGTTGGGACTGAGGCTTGCCTTTACCAGTGATGTACCTTTGTCAGGTAAACACATTTGGCATTCTTCTTGCGGATTAGTATACATTCATTCATATATTTATTTATTTATTATTTACTACAGGTATTTATTTATTACAGGTATTTTTTATAGCCCCAACATTTTATGCAGCAATTACATTATTTATTAACATCAGTCCCTTTCCTCAAGGAGCTTACAGTCTCAGGTCAGATGCATGCACATGCCACACGCATACTAGGGCCAGTTTAATCAAGGGGCATTTACCCTACTCGCATTGCTTTGAAGTGTGGGAGGAAAGCAGGCTACCTGGAGTAAACCCACACAGGGAGAACATGCAATCTCCATGCTGATAGTTTCATAGCAGAGATTAAATTGAGGACCCCAGTGCTGTATTGCAGAAGTGCTAACCAAACTTCACTTCACTATATGCTTACCAAACTTCACTTCACTATATGCTTAAGTAGAAATGAGAAACTGAGCAGCCTTTGTCTTGTGACCACAAGAAACAATATTAATTAGGTTTGAAAATAGGGAACTTTTTACCCATTTACTTCAAAGGGAAATTATTATTATGGATATTTTTGCCTTTAAGACTGGAAATATTTAGCTGCTTTATGGTTTTTTTCATGGTTATATTATTATATTATTTTATTTGCCATAGTATAGTACAATGTGAATTTTTCTTGCAGGGACATGAAAGGGATAATAGTGACCCTGAGTGACAGCGGTCAGTTACAGTGCTCCTACTTGGGTACTGACCCCTCACTCTTCCAAGCTCCTAAGGTGGAATCTCGTGACATTAACTACGAAGAGCTGGACGTGGAAATGAAAGAACTCCAGAAAATAATTAGGGAAGCTTCCAAAACACAAGGTAAAACTTTGTCAAAATGCAACATAATGTAAGTTGTAGTTCCCATTTTACAATTATGCCCATTTTCTTTCTTTTTTTACAGAAATTGTTTTTATTGAAAGATTTTGCACATAAACATCCTTGTAGGATACATAGGTACATAAAACATAGAACCAAACAACACGAGATAAAGCATCTATCTCACATTCCTTGGGCAATTAACATTCAGCAGAACAGGGAACGAAGTATAAAAGGGTGCATGCCCCTGCATAGGATCGTGTGATACGTATTGAACAGAAATCTGGGGGCTAGGTACCCACAAGCGTGGAGGGCCCAAGGAGCCACGAACAACACATGACATCAGACAAGAAAGAAGGTGGAAAAGGGAAATGGTGGAGAGGAGGTAGGAAAGGCAGAACGTAAAAGAGAGATAGGGAGATGGGGGGAAGGGAAAGGAAGAAAAGAAGAAGGGGGGGAAGGGAATGACCATACTCCTGTCTGTTCCGTGGAAGGGTAACCACCGGATCCCCTGCAGGCACACTACTGCAGACCCAATAGTGACAGAGGCACAGGGAAACTCACTCACCGTAGAGATCGGTACCCCTCAGAGGCCATAAACATTATCCAGGGCCTCCATCTGGCCATAAAGGTATCAGATCGATCTGCTCGTTCTGCGATAAGCTCCTCAGATCTCATCAGCCTGCATATCTCCACTGTCCACTCCGACACTGAGGGCACGACTGAGGAGTTCCAATAACGGGGAATCGAAGTGCGGGCAGCAATGACAAAGAATCTAAGTAGGGATTTCTTCACTTTAGAGAAGGAACTCGGAAAGATGGATAGCAGCGCCATTTTAGGTGTGATGAGGACTTTGTTAGAGACCACTTGTGAGTAAACATGTGAGACGGTTCGCCAAAAGGGCAGAAGCATGGGGCAGCCCCACCAGATGTGTGTCAGTGTACCTATCTCAGCCTGACATCTCCAACAGGTGTCCGGGTTTAGTGAGCTAATTTGATGCATCCTGACCGGTGATCTGTACCACCTGGTCAACATTTGAAATTCCGTTCCTGTGCATAGGAGGACATACTGAGTTTATGCGTAAAGCACAGACTTTTGCGTCAGATCATCTTCTGAGAGGACGATCCCCAGTTCCCGTTCCCACGCCGCAAAGTAATAAAGCGAATCCCCACTTGTCGCGGAGATCAGGAAGTGGTACAGCGTGGAAACAGGATGTGGGAGGGGCAAGGCCGCAGCACAAAGTCCCTCAAAGGAGGTGAGCGGCCTATAAGGATTGCCCTGAGAGGACAAAAGCTTCACAAAGTGGCGGAACTGGAAATAGGCTAACCAGGATGCTCATGGGTCTGGGTCGAACAACACAGTCAGCGACTTTGTGTCATGTTCCATGCAGGCTGTGGAACACATAGGAGGGGTCTCCGGCTTTCCAGCACAAAAAGGTGGGGACATCACAACCCACAGGAAAGCCTGGGTTGGCCAAGATGGGGGTCATAGGGCCCTGAGGTGTAGAGAGGTCATATCTAGCCATCGTGGTGGTCCATGCCCGTAACACCAAAGGCACGAAGAAAGGAAGATCCGATTGGCGAGGTTGCAGGTCAGCAGGCAGCCATGGAAGGTTAGTTAGGGGGACTGGGGAAAGGTCCCGCTCGAGGGTGACCCAGAGGGGAGGGTCAAGGGAGTCAAACCAAGCCACTAGATGGGATAGATGAGTGGCTCTATAGTTGGTCTCTAAGTCTGGGAGCGCGGCCCCACCATGCTCCTTTTGGCTGAGGAAAAGGGCATACCGAAATCTAGGCCTCTTGTTCCGCTAGATGTAACGTAGAACTAGGGAGCGAATACGTTTAAAGAAAAGAGCCGGAAGGAGTATCGGGAGGGTTTGGAACAGGTACAAGCAGCGGGGCAGCAAGTGCATCTTGTACAAGGCAATTCTGCCGAACCAGGTGTGATGCAGGTTCATCCAAGAGGCAAGAGTATCCTCCAGGGATTGCAGCAGGGGGGCAAAGTTGAGTGTGTAAAGATCAGAGAGGTTGGACGGCACTCGAACCCCTAGGCATGTAATATAATCTGAGCGCAAGGCGAAAGGAAACGACCCGCGAAGATCATCCCTTTCTGTGGGGGGTGAGCGACACGTCTAAGAGCTTGCATTTCTGGAGATTCACTTGGTAGTTGGAGAGGACCCCGAACAATTTAAATTCCTGCAGCACCGAAGGGAGAGCCACCAGGGGGTTGGAGAGGTAGAGCAGTAGGTCATCTGCATATAGCCCCAGTTTATGGACCTGTTTGCCTATGTGGAGGCCTTGCACTGAGGGATTAAGTCTAATGGCATTAGCCAAGCGTTCCATGACCAGGATATAGAGCAAAAGGGAGAGGGGGCATCCCTGTCTAGTGCCGTTATCGATTTGGAACGGGGCTGAAAGTGTCCCGTTCACCCGTACTCTGGCGTGTGGCCGATTTATATAATGCCATTATTTTACCCACAAAACCGGGGGGGGAAAACCCGCCTCTAGTAAGGAGGCTCGTAAAAAGGGCCAGCTGACACGCTCAAAAGCTTTTTCAGCATCAACCGAGAATAGGCAGAAGGGGATATGTCGTGATCGAGCACAGTGTATTAAAGTGACCGTCCTCCTAATGCTATCTTTGGCGCTACGGGCAGGTACAAATCCGACCTGCTCCTTGTGGATCAGGCCCGGGATAAGGGTAGCCAACCTCGTGGCCAAAAGTTTGGCGTAAATCTTGACATCTACATTGATTAATGAAATGAGGCGGTAGCTGTTGCAGTGTGTCGGGTCCTTGCCTGGTTTAGGTAGCACGACCACGTGGGCCTCCAGTGCCTGGCGCGGAAAGGGACAGCCCATTTTCTTTCTATCTCTTGTTTGCTATTGTTCTGGTGCAAGTAAAGTGGGGGCTAGTTGGAAGCCTGGTGTATAATTGTCACAGGAAGTGACTTAATGTATTAGTCCTGTATGTTTATAATTGTAAGTCTGGTAGTTCTAAATATTATATAGGAATAGGCTCCTAATATCAAGAGGGAAGGGTTCAGAGATTTCTATATATAAAGCGTGGTGTAGAATGTTCTCCTTCAGTAGGACAGTTGGTTACCAATATGGAAACAGAATTCGACTTGCTGGCACAGTTGAAGCTGGTCTTTTATCTTAGTTACTCATGGTATTAGATATTCTCTTAATAACACATTGGCATTCTATGTGTAGGAAAGTGTAGCCCTGTGTGACTTTCTGGAGAGACTGCTGAAACAATTAATATAGCTTAGTGTGTCATATTTTTCAGGAAATGGGAGTGATGAATAGTAGCTGGGCTTCAGCCACTCCAATTTCCCTTTTTTTTGGAGAGAAACAGCAACCTTGCTCTGATGTTGTCTTTAAAAGGTTCTCCAGTCAGACAGTAAACATTATTAAATAAGGCACCAACATTAACATTTCAGCCCCATCATGATGACACAATGGGAGCCTAAAGCTGTGCTATAAGAGGTATATTGATGAAGGGCCATTTTTCAGTATTCTGCACTGCAATACTTTGACTGACGTTTATTCCGTCATGCAACGCTGTACTGAAATACATTTTATGCCATTTTTTGGGGACAGATAGAGCTTTCTTTTGGTGGTATTTAATCACCACTGGGATTTTTTATTTACTATAACGAAAAAAACTACTGAACATTTTGAAAAATAAACTTTTCTCTACATTATGTTATGAAACATTTATTATTACCCCAAGTTTTGGTAAAATATAAAAGACGGGGTAACGTCGGGTAAATAGGCACCAAACACGCCAAGCCTTAAAATTATGCACGCCTGCGAAATCGCAAAAAAAACCTACCATACCCAAAAATGGCCACAGGCGACGCTTTAAAACCTTTTACTGCATAACGCTAGTTTTTGTCCTCCCGTTACCCTTAGGAGAACTAATGCATTTTTTAAAATTTAAATTTTGTTTTTCAAAGCACAGTCTTTCTTTTAGAGAAGGCTCAACACAGTTTAATCTCTACAGTCTATAGTATGAATCAAGTTGGCTCTTGTTGTTCTGTAAGTGTTTTTTATGTTGAGGGAATGTAATTAACACCGATCTTTCCCAGAGGCTCCGATTTATGTGACACTCACATTTTGTTGAGGCATTTTGCTTAGATTTTAGTTAATTCCCTTTTAAATATTTCTGAAATGAAAATATGTCTGCCACAATGGCTAGAGATTTATGTTTAACTTCTGGTATTTTCCTAGTTAGTTAGACTACGTTCAGCAGCAGAATCCTTGGGGAATCAGCATTTATTATGCTTGGTTTTTAGAAGAAGTGTTTGGCTGTAAAGCTGACAAGGTTCCACTCAGTGACGAGAAATGTTATTTACAATTTCTTGTCTTCTGATTGTTGTAAATAACGGTCAGAGTAGGAGCTACATAAATTCTATTTTTCTCCATTTACCTGGGAATTCAGTCAAGTCAAAGTGGTGATGTCATCAGAAGTTTCCTTTTTCATAGTGATGCTTGGGGTGCTGAAAAGAGGCTTTAACTCAGGTCTCTTCTATGTTTTTTCAGTATATGTCAGTATCGGTACAAGCCCAATTCCAAACAAAGTTAGGACGCTGTGTAAAATCTTCATAAAAACAGAATACAATGATTTGCAAATCTCATGAACCCATATTGTATTCACAATAGAAAATAGAAAATGTTTAAACTGAGAAAATTTACCATTTTCTTTCAAAGTTTTTATTGAAGAAATGTTCAAATAACAATAGAAATGAAAAAAAAAGAAAAAACAATTAGAGATAAGACGGAGCAGTCTCCCCACAAGCAAAAATTTGCAATTTTAAGAAAAAAACTAAGGTCATTTTTTAAATTGATGGCAGCAACACGTCTCAAAAACGTTGGGACAGGGTAACAAAAAGCTTATGAAGTAAGTGGTACTTTTCTATTGTGTCTTTGCTATTTTCTATTGTGAATAAAATATGGGTTTATGAGTTTGCAGATCATTGCATTCTGTTTGTATGTAGATTTTGC